TTTGACAGCTGAACTCCGCCATTTAATTTGCATGTGCAACCAAAGTCGGACGCATGATTTTGAAGGTGTTTTTATTTAATGAGTTGTGATTAATTGGTTAATATTAAAGTCGTAAATCAAGTTATAACTAATCGAGTAAAGTGTAAAGTGAAGGGGAATACATAAATGAATTCGTGAAGTGGCTGCTTTAAGGAGAATAGGAGTGATAAATGTACGCTAATTTCCAAATTTTACAAAAAAGGGCATATTTCAAACCCAATTTGTAAATAAATTAGTGACCAAAAATTACAATAGTGGATGTTAAAATAATGGGTAGACCCTTGGCTACAAGTTTTTGGATCGGGTCACCCCTTTGGACGCAATACCCCGAAATAGGTGGGCCACTTACTAAACAGTACCCCATATTGGCATACTTCCGTTGAAATTGTGAAGGATTGGTGCTCACATTTCTGTTCACACTTAAGAAAACTTCGCACAAGTCTATAACAGTGATCAGCACATAGTACCTATTTTGATATTCCCCGCCACAGCCGTACAGCTTTTGGGTGTAAACGTACTGCTTTTTATTGCAATGTACCTACTCAAAAAAAAAAAAAAAAATCTGGAAATGTGCTCCTTAGTTTTGTACTTCTTTTGCACCCCTTTTTCCTAGTATTAATCAGCCCTATTCTACATATCGACTCCAATCGAAATTATCTCCGTTTGGCAACTTTGGTATTCTGCGTTCAGTTTACTTTCGATCAATCTTCGAAATTTACGATTATATCTATTCTACATTTCGATCGTATGTAGTTCCGTTTTTCTAAAGCTGAAATTAGTCAAGAACGTAAACCTACCGGTACGTAAACCCGAGTCAGCTGACACGATCTGTCTTACCAAAGCGCCATGTAAATGAAAACTCAACACCGCAGAATTTTTCTGTAGTTGTAGCCCGTAGCGCAGAAATCTGCGGAATTTAGATTTTTCCGTGTCAGCTGATTTCTCCTTCTTTAGATGGTCGTCAGTTTTACAGATGGTAAAAAGTTATAAGTTCCTATTCAAAATATGTTTAAAATATTTGAAATTTACTATTGAATAAGGTTTTTGTTGAGAACTATAGAATTAAATAAACTGGATTTTCTTAACAAATCGAACATTCTTT